ACAGATTCTTTCTTTGTTGAGCTAATGTACGGGGGTCTCGTGCTCTTTATAGGCAAGGCAGCTTACACATTAAACTTTGGCTTTCTGTACATTCCCTTTTTTAAGTCCTTCTCTGGGGACAGACAACTGTCCAGATGAGGGACATCAGTCAAGGACCCATGTCTGGTAGTGCTGAACCAGGATTTGAGCCAGGACGACTTGGAAATCAGGTCTACAACCGTATTTAACGCACCGAATTCGCCTTCTGAGTACAAACATGGTTTCTTCCACGGGGCACCCTCAGTGCTAGAAGGGAGTGGGGTTACCTGACAGCGAAAGCCACTTGTAAATAATCAGACAACCTTGGAAATATGTGGAAGACATTTGGGGTAAATTATTGTGGTTTCCTCAAACAGTTTTGAAAGGGTTTTTTTGTGTGTGTGGTTCATCTTAAGTTTCCCCATCAGGAGAAGACGAATATATCCATTGCCTTCTGGGTCCTTGCTGCTGTCTGAACTTGGTGGTTTTCTTACAGACATTTCATGAACCTGCTAGGTAACATCGTCAGTGCTGGAAGGAACTGTCTATAAACAGAGAGCAAATCTCACTCCTTTCTAGCCCTGATGATATTACCTAGCTGGATCGTGAAATTTCTGCAAGAAAATCACCAAAGTCAGACAGCACCAAGGATCCCACAGCCTTCCTCCTCCTCCTCCTCCTCTCCATATACCCCACTTCCTTGTAGCACTGATGATACTACCTAGTGGGGTGATGAAATACCTGCAAGAAAACAACCAAGCTCAGAGAGCACCAAAGACCCCACGCCTTCTACCTGCTCCTAATCTTGGCACTGAGAAACCCAAAATATATGACCCACGTAAATTAAGGATGTCACCATATACCATAACTATCAAGTTTGATGACTGGCCAAACACATCAGAGAGAAATAGATCAGATACAAGCAACAGCTTGCTAATCTGATGAAATCCAACACCTGCTACAGTTTTATTATGCAAGACTCTACAACGGCTTCTACAAATACAAACCTGAAGACACAGATTCTCCCTCACCTGAATATTGAAGTCAGCCTTGTAAAAGAGGTGGACAGAAGTTTCTGTAATATTTTCCTCCATTGCTGAGTACATTTACACCTAAGCTCCCTTCTTTTAATTCGTAAATGATCCCAACCAGCCAGGGAAACTAGGTGTCTCTTAAGAGGATCCTGCACTGGTGATTCTTGGTATAATTTAGAATTTGAATTGCATTGGAATTTGCACTGGCCAGGAATGAAGGAAAGAACTGAGCCAAGAAAGAAAAAAAAAAGGAAAGATGGATTGGGACAGCACTGCCAAAACCTCTCGCAACAAAACAAAGAAGAGTTTAACTCGGCTCCGGTAACGTATGATTTGCCCATAAGTCTTACCAAAGCCTTTTGTGGATAGATGAAACATCTTGCAACCCAAGCATTTCACGCCAAAGCATTTTTTCCCCTCCTCTTTTGGGGTTTTGGAAGCAAAACCAACTTTTCTCCCTCCGGGAGCCATTAACATATTGTCTTGGAACACGCTGTTTATTAACTTCACACACACACACACACCCAAAGCTGCCAAGGTATTAAAAAGCTCATCCATTCACTCTGAAACTTTTGATGGAATACCTGCACTCCTCAAACTGACATTCTTATAGGAAGGGTAAGGTTTGGGATTTAGTAGCGCAACAATGCAAGGCCCACTGAAGTAAATACAGCAAGAAAAAGTAAGCTTAAAGATGTTACAGTTTAACGACAAACCCCATTATTTTACTCGTGTTTAATTTGAAAGACAATGAATTGATAAACAAACAAGAGTATGCCAAGGAAATTTAGATAGTTTCTACATCCTACTGATATCAAAGGGAAGAGATACCCAATAGCTAGATTTTTGCCCATTGAAATAAACTGGAAAGTCATTGATTTAACTCTCAACAAATCTTGTTGATTATGGAGCATGCTTATAAATGAATATTAAAGTGTGTTGTGATTTTCTCCACCCCATATTTAACAATAAAGAGGAACAGACAGAACATAATTCTGTCTCCATCATCTTCACAAATAAGGGGACTATTCTGCTGTCTTTCAACCAGCACACCCAATTTTTTAAATTAAACCTTCAATGTGAAGAACATTCTTTGAAACACTTCTGATTTTTAAAAGAAAAATTTTAAAATAATATTAAAGAAAGAAAGATTGTTCTAGTATTCTTGAATGAGGAGAAAGATCCACAGAATTCAAATATTTAGACCACACTGTTAAGATTCTAGAAGGGGTGAAGTTTTGAGATAAACATTAAAGAGAGATCCAACCTGGAGCTAAGGATACATTTCCTGGCAGAGGGAATAATTTATCAGTGGAACTCCTTGCCACCAGAAGCTGTGGATGCTCTATCACTGGAGGTTTTTAGGAAAAGACTAGACAGCCATTTGTCCAAAATGGTAGAAGGAACCCTGCCTTGGACAGGGGTTGGACTATAAGACCCCCAAGGCTTGTGCGGGGGGGTTGGACTACATGACCTATAAGGTCTCTTCCAACTCTGATTATCTGTTATCTGTTAGGTTCATTCCAGCTCTAGGACCATGTTTCAAGGGATGAAACTTGCTTCATCATACAAATTCAATTCTTCATCCAAAATCGACCATCTTTATTCTTCTTATGCTTGCCAGTATTTGTGGCTAAGTCTACATTACTCTCACTTAATCAAACCTAACCCAGTAGGGCTGGAAGCACACAACGACACTCTTTCCACCAAAAATTACTATTTTAGAAGATAGAAGAATTCTCTAACTAACAGAGAGCCATCGATGGGAATTCTAAGTCTTGAAGTGGGGCAACAATGAAAGAACTGATATGAAGGGATAATTGGAGGGATCTGGGGTCATGCCATATTATAATCCAGTAAAACTGCTGCGCAATGGGAAACATTTCAATTAATTCACCATATGACTTTATTTGTTATGGCTGCCTATCTTATATCGAACCATTCTAGAAAGCTCACAAGGAAGCCCCCGCCCCCCAAAAAACAGCAATTAAAAAAACAATCACAAAGGCGGAAGCAACAATTAATTCGTAAAATTTAAATTCTCCATGTTTCCAAAATCTCCAGATGTGTCTGATTAAGACACTAACACAAGGACAAGATGGCATATAATATGGGCGAGAGGGAAAAAAAAGCTATTTATCCTTGAAAGGGAGAAAAAAATATATTTGTACTTGCATTTTATCATACCTTGACAAAATCATGGAAAACCTCAAAGACCAGAGATGATTAAAAAAAAAAAAAACCTTGAGGAATATATATATATATAAAATTTTGAATTAATCAACTCAAGTTTAAGTTGATTAATCTACCAATTACCCTGATGAAGGGGCCGGTTCTGTCCCATCCTGTTACGAGGGCAAAATTTAAGGGCCGTTTCTCTTGCGAAGGAAATAAAGATGCCATTGACGCCAGGTTCATTTTAATAATACATGCTGCGCGCTGCGCCCACCGTCTGCAAAAATGGAAAGCAGAAACACACAGACGCACGCACTGCACACACACACACACATCTCGACACCTCGGTGCTGCAGCTTATTGTTCCTTAAGTGACGGAAGGTTTAATCAAGAAAACAGGCCATCCATCACATGAAACCAGGCAGGCTGTGTGAGTCTGACAGCCTGCACATGGCTTTATACGGTGGGAAAACCTCGCCACCTGTTAGCCACTAACCTTTTACACAAGGATCCGAAATACAAGCTTTGTCCCCTTCCCTGTCCCTGATGAGATTCTTCTTTATGTTGGCACTGTCCCCCTGTTATTGGCAGGGACAGACGGCGGAGAACGATGGCTGTTTATGCGCCACCGTCAACAATTTATGCCTCCTTAAAGTGACTTATTCCTCCTTCTGACTTCCGTTATTAGAAATCATCTCCTCCTCCTCCTCCGTTGCAGCAGCCTGTCCTCCTTCTGTGCTTTAGGGATGTTATCAGAATAAGAGTCGGTATGGGACCTTGGAGGTCTTCTAGTCCAACCCCCTGCTTGGGTCCTTGGGTAAAAATCATTCCTGCCCTGTCTCTCTCCTTCTTGGACTTCTCTCTGGTTGCCCTTGTAGTTCTGACTCAACACCACCCTTCAGAAGAAGCCATGAAAGGTGTGGATGAAGGACTTCTTTCTGGAACTGGGTATGTCTGGTCAGAACTAGGGGAGACATGATAGCAGTCTTCCAATATCTCAGGGGCTGCCCCAAAGAAGAGGAAGTCAAGCTATTATACAAAGCACCAAGAAGGCAGGACGAGGAACAATTGGTGGAAACTAACCAAGGGGAGAAGCAAGCTGGAATTAAGCTTCCTGACAGGGAGAACAATTAATTAATCAGTGGAACAGAAATTGTGGGTGCTCCATCACTGGTGGTTTTCAAAAAGAGATTGGACATCCATTTGTCTGGAAGGATACAGTGTCTCCTGCTTGAGCAAGGGGTTGGACTAGAAGACCTCCAAGGCCCCTTCCAACTCTGCTATTTCTATTTCTATTCTAATAACCGTTCAAAGTTGCAACGGCACTGAAAAAAGTGACTTATGCCCGTTTCCCACCCTTACGACGGTTGCAGCAATCTCCATGGTCAGGTGGTCCAAATTCAGAGGCTTGGCAACTGGCATGTCTTTATGACAGTTGCAGTATTTCCCCCTTTGTGACCTTCTGACAAGCAAAGTCCACGGAGAAGCCAGGTTCACTTTAACGAATCATGTTAGTGACTGAACAATCGAAGTGATTCGCTTCACAACGGTCGTCGTCAGGTCGTGAAGTGGCCCAAAATTCACTGAGCGGCAGTCTTGCTTAGCAACGGAAAGCTTGCGGTTGTAAGTTCAGGGCTACCTGCCTAAAGCAACATCATGTAATTTTAGCACATGTAGCTATGGTTGTAAAGGTCTGTGAGTTCTTCTCGGCCCAAAGTGAGGGAGCTACGTAGAGCTAAAAGCTCTTATAAAGCAAGGAGATCTGTTTCTTACCTGAAATGGCATATAAATTAGAGTGCTGGTACTCAAAATCTGGACGAGTGCCGTGCCCTTTCCCTCGGAAACTGGCAGGAAGCGTCAACGATATATGTCTAAAGAGAAGAGACCAAAGAACATATTTCTACTTCCAAGAACAACAACCCAAGTTAGGGAGGCAGGGATACTCATGGAGATTGGTTTCGTCTTGCCTAGCTGGATGGCCAGTCACTCTCTTTCTGCCCTAGGAAAGAGGCAAGGGCAAACCCAGATCTTGCCAAGAAAACGGCAAGGATTAGTCCAGGCAACACCCGAGAACTGGACACTAGTGAATGGAAAAAACAGTGGCAAAGTTGGGTTATCCAGCTTAAGTAGGAGAGGACTTGACTTGACCATAATAGAACCAGTTTGGCCTAGTGGTTGGCACCAGACTAGAAAGCAGGAGGCTGTGAGTTCTAGTCCTGCCTTAGACAAAGAAAGCTAGGTGGGCGATTTGGGGCTAATCACCAGGAGACTGTGAGTTCTAGTCCTGTCAGATATGAAAGCTGGCTGGGTGACAGTGAATTCTAGTCCCATCTTAGGCATGAAAGCCAGCTGGGTGACTTTGAGCCAGTTCTTCTACTACACAGAGTTATTGTTGTGGGGAAAATAAGAGGAGGAAGGTGTGTCGGATATGTTTATCACTTTATTTGTAAAAATAATAAAGGCGAGATACAAACAAACAATCTTAAATCTGCCCTAATCGCTGGCATGAATTGACTTTATACCAATACAAGCATCAGCCAGATATGGATCCTAAACTCATTATTGCTGCCAGCCAAAACCACAACTATGTTTCCTGCTGGCATATTTTTTTTTCCCAAATCCACATTTTATAATCATTTTAAACTATAAACAGGGAACTTCCTCCCTCTCTCTCTCTCTCTCTCTTGTACATGTACATAAATGTGCCACTCAGAAACCCCAAACAACCTAATTTATTGGGAAGCAAAAGATTAATACAACCCCCAAGTTCCTTGAACGCACACTGTTAAACGCCAACAGCTTGGCAGCATATGGCAAATCAATTACTACTTTCAATTTTGAAATTCATATTCACACACGCACGGTTTTTTTTTTTTTAATAAATAAATAACAGCCCTCCGAACAAAAGTGGAGAAGACGGAAGAGAGAAAGAAATGGTGAGCAAGAGGGAAGAACAATTGGGAAACAATAATGGAGCCGAGATGAACGGAGGCTGCTAGAATTTGGAATATAATTAATCATCGTTTCCAGCAGCCCTATTGATATAAAAGAGAGAGTTTGGGAGGCTTAATTCAGTGGGGAAAGGTTAGCAAGGCCATTCTGGAGAAATGTTTATCCCCCCAAAAATTGTTTTGCATTTAAATGGGGGAATAAAACAGGCAAAGACAAGTAAAGCCCAGAATTGCATCATTTCAGAGCTCAAAGTGTTGAATCCTGCTCAACTCTACATGCGCTAAGGTCCAAGCTGGGGTAACTGAAATCTTGCGTGGATGAGGCTCAATGTTAACACAGCAAGAGCTTGATTTAACAGACTAGTCAGACAGAAATGTCTGTTAAATCTGAAAAAGAATCCTTAGCCTGATTTAACTACCAAGCAAAATTCTTTTGATTCCCCCCCACAGCTTTTTGTAATATTAAAAGATATTAAAAGATAAACATGGATGACAAATGGATACAGATGGACAGAATGGAGAAACTTATTTATCACTATGATTCTATTTTTATTCTGCCTTTTATTTCTATTTCTAGATAGATAGATAGATAGATAGGAAGATAGAAAAATAGAAAAATAGAAAAATAGATGGATGGATACAGATGGATAGAAGAATAGAGAAATGTATTTATTACTTCTATTTTTATTCTGCTTTTTATTACTATTTATTTTTATTTCTAAATAAAAAATAAATATTTCTATTTAGATAGGTAGGTAGGTAAGTAGGTATTTAAGTAGGTAAGGTAGGTAGGTAAACATGGATGACAAATGGATACAGATAGATAGAAGGGAGAGAGTAATATAGAGAGATAAACACACATAGCCAATGAACTCCAGAAAATAATAGCACCAAAGTCTATGACCAACCTAATTTTATGCCTCATATTTTTTTTGTGTGTGTCGATTGTTCAGTGAACCAATTGTTCACTACGGGCCTGTTTTACCAAAAAAAAAAAAAAAACCACGCAGGTTTACCACAAAAATATTTCACCCCTGAGGTAAATATGCGGCCAGGTGAGCCTGGGATGCTGCCAACTAAGAGCTAACGAGCATCCAACATGCAGTCCTGTGACCTGTGGGGGGAGGGGCGGTGGCAGTTGGTCCGAAGTCCCTCAGGGAGGTCCGTCAGAAATCTGAACCGGCCATAAGTCGAAGAACTAACTGTATTTTTGACACACACACCCTTTTTTTGGTGGGGGGTGAGGGGGACATATCACGCACCAAATCCGGCCTCAACTTCCCTTCCTTTCTTCTTAAGAGCTTTCTGGATTTCTTGCTGCCTTTGGGGCACTCAAAGATTTTTTTGGCGGTGTGGAGAGGAGGGTCAGATTTGAAGGAGAGATTAAGAGAAAAAAAGGCAGATATTTTAAAAATAAAATAAAAAGGGAAAAGGCAATGCCTTTTAACGAGGAACAATAAAAAAAGCCAGTCTCTCTGGAGCCATAATTAGAGGGAATTAATTGAAGTTGTGTTTTGACACCGTTGCCGAATGCGCCGGCGATGCATGACGACTCCGCCCGCTACACGCTGCTGCCTGAAGGGGGGGGGAGAGCGGAGCAGGGGGCAAAAGCACAGTGGAGGACTGCACGCACGCACGCACGCACACACACACACACCCCGCTGCCACTTGCAATGTGTGGCATGTCGGTATCCGGCTATTCCCTCCTGCCCTACTCGAGCGAGTAGACGAAGTTCGCCCTGAAAAGATATTAACAATTAATTACTAGGACTTGGAGAGAATCTTGGGGGGGGGGGGGGGGGGGGGGGGGGGGGGGGGGGGGGGGGGGGGGGGCGGGGGGGGGGGGGGGGGGGGGGGGGGGGGGGGGGGGGGGGGGGGGGGGAGAGCACAGGGAGGGGCAGCTCATTAATATGAGCAAATGCCAATTAATTCTCCTTGAGCAAGGCATCCGTCCCCTTTGCCCCCCCCCCCCCATCAGTGTTCAAATGACAGCACAGGAAAAAGGGTTTATTAAAGAGGAAGAAGAGAAATAATGTCTCTCTCTGTGTGTGCGTGTGTTTATATTTGTGTGGGGTTTTTTGTGTGGGTCTGTGCAAGAGGGTGGGTGTTCTCCTCTCCGTAAATTGTGTGTGTGTGTGTGGGGGGGGGAAACAGCCTTGGAGACCAGGGTTAAGGGACGACAAAGAAGAAACGATCTCGCCCGGTTTTCTGGTTACTTCCAGACAAAATGGAAGCTGCCCGATTTTTGGATTCCGTTGCTCGCCTACAATTTGGTGTGAGCGGAATACCAATGTCAACTTATTCTCTTTTCCTACCGATAAATCGTTCACCGTCAACTATCCTGCTTAAGAGTTGGAGGAGGAAGGCGGGGGTAGTGGGGGGTGGGTTGGAGGAGAAGGGGAGGAGGAAGAAGAGCAGGAAAAAGAGAGGGAGAAGGAATGGTGGAGGAGAGGAGAAAAGAGAAGGGCGGAGGAGGAAGAGAAGCAGAAAGAGAGAGGGAGAAGGAATAGTGGAGGAGAGGAGAAAAGACAAGGGGAAGAGGAAGAGAAAAAGAGAGGGAGAAGGAATGGTGGAGGAGAGGAGAGAAGGGCAGAGGAGGAGAAAGAGAGAGGGAGAAGGAATGGTGGAGGAGAAAAGAGAAGGGGGAGGGGGAGGAGGAGGAGGGGGAGGGGGAGAAAGAGAGAAGGAAAAGGAATGGTGGAGAAGAGGAGAAAAGAGAAGGGAAGGAGGAGAAGGAGAAAGAGAAAGAGAGAGGGAGAAGGAATGGTGGAGAAGGAATGGTGGAGAAGTGGAGAAAAGAGAAGGGGAGGAGAAGGAAAAGAAATATACGAAGAAATGAGAAGAGGAGGAGGAGGCAGAGAAAAAGGAGAAGATTAAGAAGAAAGGGAAAGGGGAGTTTTGTTACAGTAATGGGACCCCAAAATTTATGTTAGGTGGGACAAAGTATCACCCCTTTTCCAGTTCCCAGCATGACTGTCATTGATTAATACTGCCCATTCAAAAAATATTTATAATGTCATAGTTGTTACTACAGCTGAGAAAGGAACACAAATACAGGCACAGATGGGCAATAAATAGGTTGGACGTAGAACAGGAGCGTAAGATGTTGTGAAGGGATCTTGTAACTGGGTGTTTTTGAACTGAGGAGTTTAATCTGGACTCTTCAAAGTGGCCCCTATTTAGCAGCCAAGCAGGTGTCCTTCTCAAGGAATTACGCTTCAAAAGCCCTCTTTCCCAGTCTTTTTTGCTTGAAAAGACTGATGACTTAGGTTCACCTGGAAACCGTCCTTGGCAAGGCAGAGTGAACTGCCCACATCTCACCTGGGAAGGTTGGCAGCTGGTGTCGTGGCTGGTGTTTGTGGAGAAGGTGTGGTAGGCTGAGATGATTCATGGTTTCGAGGAACCTTCCCCATCCGATACCAGATCCCCATGTTGTTCAATTCCCTTTTCAGCAGAGAGAGAAAGCGATGCAAGACCCATTCAACATAAAATATAACATAATAGGGTTCGAAGGAACCTTAGAGATCTTCTAGTCCAACCCCTTGCTCAAGCAGAAGGCCCAAACCATTCCAGATAAAGAGTTGTCCCGTCTCTTCTTGGAAACCTCCAGTGATGGAGCACCCACAAATTCTGTTCCACTGATTAATTGTTCTCAGTGTCAGGTAATTTCTCCATAATTCTAGGTTGGATCTCTCCTTGATAAATTTCTACCTGTTACTTCCTGCCCTCTGATGCTTTGGAGAGTTGGTTGATCTTCTCTTCTTTGTGGCAGCCCTTCAAATATTGGAAAACTGCTATTATGACACCCATAGTCCTTCTTTTTATTATACTAGACATACCTAGTGCCCTTAATTATTCATTGTATGCTTTATTCAGTTGGTAGAAGACACAACGAAGACCCTTTAGAAATGAGCTAGAGGTCCTACTGGAAGGGAAACCTCAGCTGAAAAAAGCCAAGGAAAGGTGCTAATGTCAGAGAAAAACAAAAAGACCTCCATACCCTATGTATGTATACTGTGGAAGGGTTTGTTTGCCTCGGCCCAGGATCCGGATATCACAAATGGCGGCTTCCGTGGAATCCCGGGGGATAAATTTAATGCACAACCTCTTTTTCCGAAAAGCAGTTTCTTCTGAAAAAGACAGGGTGAGTTTAAAGAATCTCTTCTCTTTACAAGTCGTTGAAGGCTTAGAGGGGAGAAACACAGACACACAAAGAAAGAGAAAACTAACAATGATTACTCTCAACTATCCCAGTTTCTCCTTCCCACCCCATTTCTGCATTTCCACCTCCAAACTTTCTGGTCAAGTTGTAGAGAACTTCTAACCCTAAATCATGCAGAGACACGAATATCTGGACCTTTAAAACTTGGTGAAACTTCTACCGAAGGGAAGTGCCAATTGTGGACTTTGTGTACGGTGTCAATCCTAAAGAAAAATGCTCTCTTACGGAGGAGAGGGCAGGATTGTAACACTCGGACATCCAACTACATTGGATGAAGCTCATATTGGTTCCAGTTATGGTGGTGCCTTACTATGTGTGAGGGGAACTTCATCCGGAACTTCTCAGAAGGCACCAGTCCTGATGGCAGAAGGTTGACCAAGATGTTTCTGTAGTTCAGGATTTTTTAGCTTTCTTTCCCCACTGAACCTCAGTCTTTAACTCCCTCCCTCCTTTTCTCCTGTCTAGTCTGGATTTTGATGGGTTGACCTTCAACTACAACCCAACAATAGGGATGTGGATAGAATTCAACTCAATGCATAAGCTGGTATGTCAGAGAATCCTCTCCCTAGTTGAACCTAGAGAGTATCTGAGCACAACGAAGGCTACTAATTCTACTTACGTGTATCCATAGTTTCTTGAATTGGGATGAAGCCCACGGGCAACGTATCTTTTACGTCTATGAGTTTCATGTCAACCAAGACATTACCTAAGTGACTCTGTTAGAAGAAAGGCAGGACACTCCGTGACTGGCAAATAGTGGAGAACTCAGCAAAAAGCTAAACCACCCCAATGAACATAAATTACATTCCCACAAGATCGTTAATCTGATGACTCCATTCACCCAGTCAATAAGGTCACTGTACAAACACAATCCATGCATCCAGGCTTTCTCACACACAATTCCTGCCCATCTGAGCTTCAGCTCAAGTTAGGGTGCTGGATCAAGAGGCATGGCTTTGGAAGATTTAAATCTTGGATAAAGACAATTATTTGAGCATTGGCAAAGAGGTTGGAAAGATCATAAACATTCAATCAATCGATCAATCAAATCTGTATTATAGTTATAGACCAGCATAAATCAGACTGTGACATTGCCTTATAATTCCCTTATTTTGGGGTGTGTGTGTGTGCTGATGACATACTACCAGAAGGAGCATTTGGAAACCGCATCTTTCCAGAGGCTCTCTTCCCAAAATTACACAGCTTCAGTTTTATATAACACAGCCATAAAAAAATATTACACAGACAGAGAAGATCCTTATCTGGGCAGAAAAGACATATATCCATTTTGTAATCAGCTTCTTTTTTCTTTAAGCTTGGCCCAAGAAGTCCAGAAAGCAGAGTAAGATGCGGGGAAAAAGAAGTTTCTTCCATGCCAAGTTGGAACAAGGAACCCTGCTTGGAAACCAAGCCAACGTCGTTCCTTATTCATTGACTGGAAGAAGAAACCATGTTCCACAGCAAAGCTGCCATGCTCACGTTTCATAACGTTTCCATCAGAAACCGTATCTGGGATCTCCCTTGTTTTGACAACCAGACAAGTAGAGGCCCATCGTCCTGTGTCTGCATAAGCCTTTCTGGAAACATCTTTTGCTCGGGGCTGAATGGAAGGAGAGAAAACGGATTTTGCACCCTGCAACATCAAGATGCGTTTTCTTCTCCCCAAAGAATCTTGGCTTGGGAGACCAAAGAGAATGTGAATAATGGGGAACAAAACCTGACTAGGAACCAGCGATGTCGTATGTGTCTCTGCTTTTGAATCAGACTCAACTTCTGGCAACTCACAGACAAGACCGTACAGTTTTACTTGGCAAGGGCTTTTGGAAGGGCTTCCTGGGGCTGACGGAGAACCTCCCCCAGGGAATTTCCATGGGCTGAAAAGGGAAAACCTTCGCCATTATTTGACTCTGGCTCTTGGGCTGAGAGACAGGGACTAGCCGAAAACCAGGCGACTGGCTTTGGTGCCTACAGCAAGAGTAGAGTTCATGGTCTCCTGGCTTCAAATCCAGGGTCTCCTGCTTCTCATGGTCTCCAAATCCAAATGTAGTGTCTCCTGATTTCGAATTCGAATTTGTGATCTCCTGGCTTCCAGACCAAACCCACATTCTCCCAGCTTCTAATCCAGGGCCTTAACCCCTAATCCAAACTGGCTCCTTAGGAACCAGCTATTACCAATAGTTAATGCCCAAAACACCCTCCCCTTCAACCTTCTCACAACCACAATTCCAACCAGCAGCTGGGCTGGGCCCTTCACCACTGCGGAGGGGGTCCAAATATGTTCTCATTGATCCTACTTCAACCCCTTCAGTGTTACACCACACTGATTAGTGTACCTATCTGCCTGCTTTGGCGAGTCAAGCGACAGATCCAGGATATCAGGCAAGGAAAATGAACCAAAACATGCACGAATGTTTCTCCCCTCTCTTCCTTTCTTATATTCCTTTTTTATTTTCTTTAGAGTATCAGGCAACAGATCTCTTGCTCCAAGTTTGGACTTTTAAGAAAATGTCTGGGCCCAAAAAAAAGCAAGCCACTTACATTCTCTTTGGAGAAAGTCCGCGTGAAACACAAATATCGTGTGACCTTGGATTTGAACAAGCCATCTTTCCAAAGATCAGCATCTAAGCCATCTGCTGTTTGTGCGACCTGGGGGGGTGGGAAAGAGAAAGGGAAGGGCCAGGTTAGTTGTGTCTATAACTAGGGAATATCATCAGTGCTGGGTATTCAGTGGTAGGTCACATCTTCAGGCACTGTGTTGTTACCTAGTTGGGTAATGAAATGTGAAACCCATCAAGCTCAGAGAGCACCAAGGACACCACAACTTGTGATGCATTTAATAAACCACGTTTAAAACAACCACAGGACACTACAGAGGCAAATACACTGTTGGCAGAGCTGTTGTGATGGTCATACCAAGAGATGGGACCATTTCTGGAGTGGTTTCCATGAAGGGTATTTTCTCTGAGGATTGTCTAGTCCTACCAACGTTCCCTTTTTCAGAAAGCCGAAAAAACTATCCAAGCTTTCCAGAGATAAACCATTCTTCTCCACCCCTTCTCATTGACTTGAGGAGTTGAGTCAAACCAGCCTCTACAAATGTTGCAAAGAAATCAATAGTACCGTAATCCAAAGTAGAGATCCTAAACTTCTTTTAGAGATGAGGAAGACTTGGCGGTTAAACACAAACTGAAAAATAACACAAACTGACCCACAATCCAAGAAGACCATCAAGCAACATGTGAATTCACAGCAAATACCTGCAAAGCTTTGTTGTTTTTAAACACAATTCTTGGAAAGGGGACAACCCTGTGCAAGAAGATTACCAACACCTCTTCAAATCCAGTTTGCAATTTGCTTCAACCACAGTGGGGGCCAACTCCAAACTTCCACAGTGCACAACAATGTTGAAAAAGCAAGGGACATGTTTATTTCCGTCTGCATTTTTATTCCAAGAAAGGAATGCTGTTGTTGGAACGATAGGCAGATTTTTTTGGGCTCTGAGCCCATTCTAATTACTGGGACATGCTATCAGGAAGTGCTAAATAAATCTTATTTTCTTCAAGAAGTTTTATGTGCCATTCCTTGTTTGTCTCTCCCTTTCCCTTATACACATTCTGGGCTTGAGTGACACACCTAACCCTAAACCTTGAGTTCACAGGTTCATCCAACCTGGGTCTCCAACAGCATCTTGAATGAACAATAGCTAACCCAATCAGGGCTTGGCTAGACACAGGACAATCTCAACCTTAGCAGAAGAAAATTGTTCCTGACATAAGAAATTAGGCCATGTACAAAAAGCTGTTAAGATTTCTCTTTGAGAAATTTGAAAGAAGGACAGGATATAACTTCTGGATCCTCTGTCCTTACCTGCTCATAACAATTCCTAGTTGTGGTGTCCACATCTCTTAGGAGTTGATGTTTAATTTCCTTTTTTCTTTCTTTCCCTCCCTCCCTCTCCCTTTTCTCCCTATCCTCCCTATTTATCATCTATCCATCCATCCATCCATCCATCATCTCCTTATCTATTTCTCTAATGTATCTATCTACCCATCCATCCATCTCTAATCTCCTTATCTATTTCTCTAATATCTATATCTACCTACCTACCTATCTCTAATCTCCTCATCTATTTCTCTAATCTATCTATCCATCCATCCATCTTTTCTTGCTAGTAAATTTTACTTCGCTTTATGATGTTTCTCCCATGTAGAGATAAGTAAAAAAAAACCCTGAAAAAGATGAAATTCTGGGTTATTAAATGCTGGGCTGTGCTTAAGCCAGATTTAAGAACCTTGGCATGCAATTGTTTTTTTTTCCCCAACCGTTGTTTATAACAGCAAGCCAATAAACCCAGCATTCCATTATTTTTTTTTATTTTTATTTTAAAAGGAGGTGGGGGAAGGTTTAAAAGAAGAAACTTCAAAGAGCTGGTTTCATCTCGGGGTAATTTCCTGCCTGCCTCGAGCATTCTGACAACAAAACGTTTGCCACAAAATGTGTACGGTGGTGGAATGTCGACAATGCGATTTTATTTCAATCTTTGGGGGGGTGGGGGGGGTGGGGAGAAGCTTTTGGGGAGATGCCAGAAGAAGAAAAAAGAGAGTGTGCCAGACCCAAAGGCTGGGAAATTCAAGCATGAGGGAATCTACTAGGAGAAGAAAGCACTAACCACAAAAACAGTGGAAAATAGTCGAAACTTGCAACAGAGCAAGAACTGAGCCTGGCTTTCCAAGAGTCAAATAAGTCCTTCATATACAGTATCTTTTTTCTTTTGGCCTTTTTTTTTTCCATTACAGAATGCAGCATTTTTAAGTTTGGAAGAAAAGATCCCTTTATATCAAGATTACTAAGAGAAGAGTTTTGAAAATGAAGGCATCTCTTCCCTAACAGATTAAGAAAGGAAAAAAGGGCGGGGAGGTGGGAGATATGGATGGGAATATTCACACTTTTTGTACCAGATTTGGTGTTTTTCCCTCTTTCTAGCAGACGGATAGTCCTTGACTTATGACCCACAATTGAGCCTGAAATTTCTGGGTGCTAAACAAAACATTTGTTCGGGGAATTTTGCCCCAATTTTATGGCTTTTCTCACCACCGTTGTTAAGTGGCTCACTGCAGGTTATTAAATTAGTCACATGGTTGTTAAGTGAATCTGGTGGCAACAAGTAATCACATAACCCCAGGACAGTGCAACCGTCATAAATATGAGTAGGTTGCCAAGGCTCTGAATTTTGATCATGTGATATAGGGGTGCTACAATGGTCATAAGTGTGAAAAACAATCGTGAAGCACTTTTTTTTCAGTGCCGCCGTAACTTTGAACAGTTGCTATATCTATCCTAGATATCCATCCATCTATCCATCCTCTGTCTGTCTGTTTCCACTGATATTCCCAGCTTGTTTTTCTAGGAACTGTTCTGACCTAGGCTTTCCCAACAGCACGAAGCCGACTCCCCAATAAAATCCTTTTTTTTATTTAGGTTAAAGGGAATTCCTCTCCAGCAAAGTCCCGGCAAACAGTCTTTCATGAGACTGCACAACTACAGACCTTTATCGGGCTTGGAGAGTTGCCAGGCCGATATCTTCCAAACGCCATGCTGTAGCAGCAATTACTTGTCAAGAAGTCAGGAACAGATCTTCACTCTAATGAACTGAATTGTCTAATTGTCTCCTGCAAAGCCCCACTCCCCTTTCGCTCCTCTTTATTCCCTATGGGAGGGGCCATTCACCGTCCACTTGAGCCTTTACTCCCAAGTCGACCCTTGTTCTTTAACTGTTCCCTTCATCTGGCAGCTCTGTGCATGCGCACACTGGGAACAGGCTCCAGCAGTTCTTCTTCCCCACTGATCTCTGACTCCGATGGCAGTTGATAACTGTCAGACAGCCCTGGCCCTATCTCTTCCCCAGACTCCAGGACTGGCCCATGTTCCTCCCCAGCCTCCTCACAGCCCGAGTCTGGCTGCTGGAGGGCCACAACAGGAACATCAAAAATTGGGCCCCGAAAGCAACAGTCTTCAGCATAATCTTGAGACCTCAAAAAACACAGGTGTCTCTCCTTATGATCCCAAAACTTGCTTCCCATCCCTGGCCTGGAAAACCTCCAAAAACTGAGCCACCAGCCTGCACATGTTCGAATGTTATCCTCCAAGAACATTTTCTGCCTCTCTCCCTGCTGAATGCCAAAAGCGCAATTAATTCATCCCTGCCCCATGCAAAATAAAAACGTAAACATTAAAATCCAGGACAACTTGGGTGAATGTGCCAACTTTGGGATTCCTGTGTGCTCCTCGCAACAGAGATGGGTGAGGAACTGAGGTTCCAATTAAACCTCCCTATCAGGTAAATATCCTTAGCTTGACTCTGGCATGTTCGTCTTCCTTGCCCTTACTGAAACCCTGAGGACTAGCAACTTGGCCTCTTTGACACCAAACACGTCAACCATGTTAACTAAATCATATTGTACAAGTTCCCAAGACCAGGAATATCTGACCACAAGGGAAAAGGTCACCTTTGCTAGGAGTTGGGTGGCATATAAATGCCTTGCACGGATTAATACAATGTAATGCATTGATTAAAACAAATGTCACATGTTAGCATAAAGGCAATGCATGGGTAGAAATGTAACACATTAATATAAATTAATATAAATTAATGTAATCCATTAATATTAATGTGAGGCATTTAATATAAATGCCGTGCGTTGACTAGTATGGATTATTGTATTTCAATATTTACGTTAATATGCCAAGGAAAAGCAAACATCCACACTGGATCAACTCGGTGGAGTTATAAGGAGTTGGGTGAGGTTTGCAAGGCAGAATTATGATTCATTTCCTATATAACCACCATCCAGAAACCTAGATAATAACTACAGAAAGTCCTCGACATACGTCAGTTCACTTAGTGTCCAAAGTTACAACGGCACTGAAAAAAGGGACTTATGACCATTTTTTTGCAGTGACGTCCCCACGATCACATGATCAAAATCCAGATGTTTGGCAACCGACTCCTATTTATGATGGTTGAAATTGTCCCGGGGTCTAATATGATCCCCTTTTGTGACAGGCCAAGTCAGTGGGGAAGCCGGATTCGCTGAATGTTGTGGTTTGCCATCAGCAGGTGAGGTCTCGGAGAGCGAGGACTTGGATGAGGCTCCTGCATGTGATGCAGGGATGGGGCCAGGAGCATCAGGGAGTGGAGTGCTGCCTTCGGAGATTGTGGAGGCTGGCAGCAGTGATGAGGAGGTCCCCGAGGAGCCTGTGCCCAGTGCCGTGCGCACAGGGCTGCTCGAAGGACAGAGCAGCTGCTGCAGCACAGGTGACTCGGGAGTAAGGCTGCAAGGTGATGGCCCCCTCCTTTAAGAGATAAAAGCCAGCTGAGAAACGGGAGTTCTTTGCAGGAAGCAAAGAAGTTTTTGCACTCAAGCCTTGTGGACGTTTGGACTCTTAGTTTGCGTTTGGAGATTCTTTGTGTTTGAACTATTTCTTGGCAACTTTATCTAGTGTTCTTGGCAGCCTTGCACCACCTCGGCAAGGCTCATTCTTTATCAGAGACAATTAGTTTGAAACAGCCTTTTAACCGGGAAGGAATGGAATTTGTAAAGAATCATGAAAAGGTTTTGCTGTTACCTCCGTTTGGTGTTTGTTTCCTTGGAACAAGATTTGGGTCAGAACACTGAACAACCGTGGGACTAACCACAATTGCAACGATCCACTTAACGATGATGGCAGGAACGATGGTAAAACGGGGCAAAACTCACCAAAGAGATGCCTCGCTTAGCCACAGGGATTTGGGGCTCAGCGTTGGTCGCGCACCGAGAACTGCCTATGTTTAGACCACTTTAGCAGACCCAACAAAACTTTCCAGCCAACTGGAATTGAGAAATTAGATTTACATCCCTTTTGTTATCTGGCGCAGCAACTGTGACCTTTCCTTTCCTTCTTGCAAAACAGTTCAAAAGCCAGTTCTCACTTTGCCATGTGTGTGTGTGTGTGTGTGTGTGTGTGTGTGTGTGTTATAATAAAACAAATAAACCATCCTTCTTGGAATTTGAAGTAGTGAACTCAGCGCTCCCTTATCAACTGCCAAGTATGAGGAAATACAGTAGCTATGGATAGAAGGCTCCTGTTTGAGATTCCAGACAGGTGATTTTGCAAAATTCTTTTCTTTTTATTTACTTTTCGCTGGCACTGAAATGCCAATGAGTTCTTTGAACCTCTCCTTTATTTAGTTTTCCTTTAAAAAGTTTTTTTTTGGGTTTTGCAAGTTCTCCAAACAATATCATAAAATTAGGAAGGTGCTGGTTTGGCTAAGCTACCCAACCGGATCGGCGGTCTATGACCAACAGATTAAATAGGAACACAGCAGCAACCCTCAGGAAACTCGCAAAAACTTGCATTTTTGCAAGCTACGCAGTTAGGGCTCGAGGCAAAAAAAAATAAAAAATTAGCACTAGGGTTGGGTTGCAAAGAGAGAGGTTACAAGAACAAACAAGCATTTAAGCCAGATTCATAGTCTTAAGAAACAGCCTTGGGAAACCGCCTGTGGAGGGGTAGCATTAAAAATATAATACAGCGTCATCTAGGTACATTTCCCTACACATAAATTCCATTTTTTAAGCCGCTAGTCCTCTTGAGGGTGTGAAAACTATCCACCGACATCTGTCTCAGCACGCTGCTTGCTAGAATAATCAATCAACTGCATGTTGTTGTTTTTTTTTTACTAAACTCAGCAATGTGGGTGCACTGGTTTTAATTTTTATTCCCCCCCCCCCTTTTTTTTATTTATAGTGTTTTAATTTTAAAATTGCTCTAGGGGAAAAAAAGTGGAATTCTCTGAACGATCACCAAGTATTGCTGAAAGGAGAAAGCAGAGAAAGTTGGATTCAGGTATGACCACCCACCAAACCAGGATAAATTTGTGCACGGCTGTTGGGAGAACAGCTAGCCTCCGTTCTCACACTGTGCTAAGACAGTTTGCATCCTCATTTATCTCAATCCGTACTTTAGTATAGGTGAAACAGCCTATCCAGTGGACTCTAATGTTTTTATTTTATTTTATTGATAAAGAACAATATTTGTAGCTCAGGGTTGAAAGGGGGAAACCAACACTGAGAGGGCAAGCCACTACAATATAAAATGAGAGTTGATTCCATTTCCTACTAGCCCTGATGATGTTACCTGGTTTGGTAATGAAATGTCTGCAAGAAGTAGAGACCAGCAAGGACATTCCCCCTTCTTATTTATATATTATGTTTACATGCTGCCCGTCTCACCAATAAAGCAACTTTGGGCAGCTTAGAAAAAAATCATGATTTATTTGCTTGGGAATCATGTGCCACAAACCTGGCTAGGTTGTTTTGCTAACCAGGCTTAAAGTTGGCTTATAGCTCCACAGAGTTCTGTGCTTTTTAAAAAGAATGCACGAAGAGCAATTTGCTTGCATTATACAGAGAAGGAGTGGAGTGGTACGGTGGCCCAGAGGTGGAGCTCTCACCTCACAATCAGGAGTCCGATCCTAGGTAGAGGCAGATAATTCTCTCACTGGACACAGTGAGAATATCTCTGCTGAACGAAGCTCCACACCAGCGACAGGAAAGGCATCTGGCCAGTAAATACTGTGCTAGCTCCATTCAGTTGGCCAGCTTCTCTGCCTCCCGCAAGGTCGTTAAAAGATGATAGATACAAACCCAAAGGAGAAAGGAAACAATTCAGGCGATGGTTGTGCAGACTTCATACTCACCACGTCGTAATTGGTCGGGGCTCGGCTCCGGGAGGCGACGACGCCAACGCCGGTGATGGGGTCCATAGGCACATTGGCCAAAGCATCGGTGAGCTCTCTAACCTCGGGCATGGTGGACGGATCCTGGAAGACAAGAACAGTCCAGAGGGAGGAGACAGGTCAGAATGCAAATTTAGAGATTTGATGCATCCTAACAAATCGCCTGGATTAGGTTGCGTTCTTGTCTATAAAAAGCCGTTAAGGGCTCACTTGTTCTGGCTTGCTCTTCTGAAAAGTTTGCATTCTGATCAGATCACGGCTACCTTTCCAGAGAGTTTGCAAAACGTTTTAAGAAGTGCTTGGAAGCGCTTCCTTCCAGGGCAAGAGAGCACAGAGGACACCTTAATCTCAATGAGAAAAAGATGGATTTCCCACATTTGGTCTCAGCCAAATCCATTCAAGATATTCCTAAACTGCCGAGAAAGCTGTTTACGTCTCGAAATTCAGTCTTCAAGCACTGAACAGAAAAATGAGAGTTTAAGGGGACTTAAAACTTCAGAACCACAAAGAGCTTCCAGAGACCTCCATCTTCTAGTATTGAATTATATTATTCTGGAATCCTTCTAGAGTTCTAGGTCGTCTTCTAGAGTTCTAGTTAAATGATGTTCTGGAATCCTTCTAAAGGCCTGGCTCTTCTTCTAGAATCCTAGCTTATTTATAATCATGTTGGGATTCTAGAGTTCTAGCCCTTCTAGAAGTTCGGGTTTTATTGAGGCTGTTCTAGTTCTTTTTCTAGAATTCTACAGTCCAATTATGTTATTCTGGTTCAGGTGGAAAGCTAGATGGCTGCAGGAGCTTAAACTGGAAAGGAGGGGTAGTAAAATAGAGTATTTCTCCCCCCGCCCAGGACTGGTATTGTTAGCAAACAGGAAAGATGTCGTTTCGCAGCGGCGCACAAACGGAAATTCAACCTCTCCCAATCAGGAGGGAAGGGATGGGAAGAAGG